CCTCCCAAGATGCGCCGGCGGACGTTTTCAGCCAAGAGGCAGGCTGTAGCAGAGTGTTCGCACGGGGTTTCGGACTACGGCCGCTAGTATGAGACTTCTTTTGGGGTGCGAGCTTGTCTACCGGACGACTAATCTCTGGCGCTCCCGACAAGGTATGCTCTCGAGTACTGACGGCAGGCATAATCCAGCCCTAGGCAGGGCCTTCCCGGACAAGTGTACACGTGTCTTGGACTAGAAAAATTCTGCTCTGTTATCTTCTGGGAGCCCTTTCGGCTCCCCCTATTTAATCCTATGCTTCCTATACAAATATCTAGTGAAATGTAGTCGTTTCGGACCTCTACCGACCCTTCAGCTGAGCTCGGGCGACCTTTGAGCTCAGCGGCTATCCGGATAGCATATCCGGACAGATCGCCGAGTACTTACCGTGATCCTTTGTTCTTAAGCTCTGGGTTATCAGACCGAGCCGATTCTTGACCTAAAGTAGGTCGGCGTATGGTCGAATCTGGATATCCCTACACCACAACGGCCCCGGTTATGATACGAGCCGAGCTGGTGAGTGTCTTAATCCTTCATTTGGCTCTGCCACCGTTGGTCCATACTCGGCTGATGACGTCTCGCGGCTCTCCACCACCTTCTTCGGTACGTTTGTTGCTTCCGCTGTCACTCCCTTGGCAGCTCCTTACTCCTCGCATGTTACTCCAGCACAACTCGCGGCGCCATCCTTCTTCTCCAACTCCTCGTCGAGGTGAAGGCGTGCCAGCTGAGTCGATTCCCCGACCCGTCGGTACTCGTGGGGTCAGCGACCGGCCTGAGGCTAGGTTGGTCGACCTGACAGCTTCTCATGAGTCTGACGCGGAGTCGGCGGGGTCTTCTCGCGGTACGCCTTCCTGGTCCATCGAGCTTGCCGGGCGTTGTTTGGGCAATGGGTTTTCCACTTGAATTTGACCGAAAATTGAACGAGTCTTAGCCAATACGTTGCGATTCATGTGCCAACGACAAACTATTGACGGAACAGTAGGAAAAACAGCATCTACCGCATTCATGCATGCTAAATCACGGTCCGTACAAATTATCGATGGGAGCGCTATGTGATTAGCTCATCATGTTTAGCAAATGTGTCAGTGCCCACACAAAGTCTTCTTTTTTTCACCAGAATTCGCTATGAAACGTGGGTTGGCCAGGCTCAAGCCATGACAACCGTGTGTGGAGAAATTGCAGGTTAGCACAGCATCAAAACGATCACTTTGCGGATAATGAGTATATCCTGGGGGACTCTGCATACCAGGCTTCGAATGTGCTGATTCCCGCCTTTAAAAAGTGTCGAGGCTCAGAACTATCGCTGAAGGAAAATATGTTCAGCACACAGTTAGCGAAGATACGTATTCGTGTAGAACACTGCATTAGAACGTTGAAAGGTAGATTCCCGCTACTCAAACGCTTGCGTGCTAGAATCAGAAACGTAGGCGAGCTCAACTCAACCATTTCACTCATTCGCGCAGCCATCATATTACACAAACTTGACGGTCAATGATAAACTTCCTGATGCGTGGATTGATTGCGATGAAGCAGAAGATAATGAGCCCGAAGAACTACCGAGCGGTACCAACGAGTGCCGTAGACCTTACTTACGCGACTATAATTTTGACAGCGTGCATTAAAGCATCAATTAATCAGACTCCACAGATATTCCTACTCCTTCACTTTCGCTCTGTAAAGGTAATAGTCGATCAATTTCTTCTTGTGGAACACCGCTATCTTGCAGCTGCTTGCGTGAAAGAAGAAGTTGAACCGCAGCTTCTCGCTGTGCGGTCTGAAGCTGCACCATTTTGATTTGAAGGTCGATGTCAGCTTGGGCCTTTTCGCGATTATTTTTTCTTCCTTTAGTAGCAGCTCTTTAGACTTGAGTGCGTGTTCGCGTTCACGATAATCCATCATCCTCTCCCGTTTCTCTTCACGAATACGGAGTACATCCGCTTGCTGTTCCAGCAGTCTGTCAACAGAGTCTACCTTGTGTTTCTTGGTACTCGAATCTGCGTCAATGGCGAGCGGCCTCTTTTCGCCTTTTTGAAGCACAGAGAGGCAGGTAGAGAGCAACTCCCCTTTAGCTGCGTCTTGATCATCGAATGTAACCTTGGTACGAGCTGAAGGCCTGTCCATCATCACATCATGCAAGTCGTCGTAGTGTGGGCAGCGCTTCAACAAAGCATCACGAAGGCTCTTCTCGTCCGTAATACCTGCACCAGTTGGTAGACGAAAATCCTCTGCCTGCCGCCACTGTTTCTCCAGGGAGTTAATCTTCTCGCGGACCCCAGGACTGTCTCGATGCTCAATACCAACTGCTTTCAGCTGAGCTACGATCTCCGCTAGCAGCGCTTCCTTCGTTTTGCCGCTCGTTCGATCACTACCTCGCCACTTGTTATAGTTTGCGGGGTTAGTCATCCATTCCAGCACCACTCGCAGAAAGGATTTTTCTCCATCCACCCCATCGGAGTCCCAGAAAATGGGAGCCTTCTTTCCTGACCTTGTCATCCCCCCGACCCGACTGATCGACCTGCTCCGGCACCTGACCCTCTCGCTTCTTAGCCTTCGAAGGCCGAGTCACCTTCTGCTTGGTCTTCGTCTTGAGCTTGTCAGTGGCGACCCAGGTGCCCTGTTAGTCGTATTGCCCTATCTGTTCTCCATAGTGCCCTCCGATCTTCTCCCGGCGATATCTCTTGGAATCCAAGACTTCTACTAAAACAGAAAGCTAGGGTGAGATCTCTTGGATTCCAAGAGAATTTTGGCCAATGAGAGTCGACGGTGCGTCTTTTCAGCTCTTGGACATTAACGCCGCAGCAGACAAACCGGTCGCCAACTCGCTACAATAGCAGCGTCCACAACCAGCAATGCCACCACTTTTGGAGCAAAGAGAAGTACAGTTTAGTACATTTAAAAGGACTCGCAGTCGGTCCGAAAACCAACCGCAAGACACTTCACATCTGGCATCTCCTCCACCGACTACACGGAAGGAAGAAAGCCAAGTTTGTTGTACGGACACTGATACAGGCATACTTCCAGGACTAACCCGGAAGTGCAATATGCGTTCAAAATTTCGATGACTCACTGAATCCTGCAATTCGCATTACGTATCGCAGTTCGCAGCGTTCTTCATCGATGTGCGAGCCTAGACATCCACTGCTGAAAGTTGCTATCTAGTTAAAAGCAGAGACTTTGGTCCCCACAGTATAATCAGTATTAAGTAAAGGGTTTAAAATAAAAAAGCTACTAGCTCAGGCCGAAAGTCCAAACGCTCGCCTTTTGATAGGGCTCGCCCAGCAGTAGCCGCCAGCAATAAAGCCAGCAGCCGCCGCCAAGTAAGACCCCCAACTATTGGGTTGAAACGGTTCACGTGGAAAGTTTTTAGGTGTGGTAATGATCCTTCCGCAGGTTCACCTACGGAAACCTTGTTACGACTTCACCTTCCTCTAAATGGCGAG